CCTCCTTTTTTTTGTCTTTTTTCGTGTCCGGCAATGGATCGCAACCCTCAGTGTCGCGCCCGTACCGGACCAGGACTGGCAACGGGATCACAACCCTCGGTGCTGCGCCCGCACCTCGCTCAGCCAGTGAGCGGGAACTGGTCTGTATGTGGGATCCGAACCCTCGGCAGGAGCGCCACCGTGCTCCCAAGCGGCGCACTGTAGCAGTGCGCCACCGGGCTGGCCCGAACCCTTGATAACCTTAAAACACCTTCCTGTAGAGCAGCAGTTCTCCAAGTGGGGTCCACGCTCCCAGAAGGTCCCTAAGACCCTTCCAGGGGTCTGCCATGTCATACCATTTCAATAATGATACTGAGCTGTCATCTGTACTTTTTCCCTGGGCTGACATTTTGCACTGATGGTGCAAGAGTCATGATGGGTGAAGCTATTTGGAACCTCAGCCCGAATCAAGGCAGCAGCACCAAACTCTACTAGTAGTCATTGGACCCTTCACCAGCATGTGCTCACAGTAAAAACCTGAGTTTCACTTGAGTGTCTTTGATGCACACACACAAAAATTTTTTTTCACTAAGTCTTGACGCTTGAGGACAGGTATTCTTTTTATAATTTTTTTTTTCTCTTTTCATTTTTGAGGACAGGTATTTTTGTATTCCACATGACAAAATGGATGAGCGTGCCCAGCCCTTCTGTTGCATGTTGAAGTACAGTGGTTCTCTCAAGGATAAGCACCTGTGCAACTGCTGGAGCTGTGAGCTGAGACAACTGCTTTTATCACAGAACTTTTTTACTTGAAATACTGTAACTATTCAAACTGGATATTTGGCAGACATTTTCTCAAAGGAAAAAAAAAGTTAGCCTGTCACTTCAATGAAAAAAAGTGATAGTATCTGTTGCTTTCAAGTGAGGATTCGAATTTTGAAAATTTGTATCTGCCTCTGTGAAACTGAGGAGATTCCCAATAGCTAAAGACTTTTCCATCACCATGACAGTGATATTTACAAAGGTGCTTTTTTGATATTATATAATAAAATGTATCACCATTTGGAAGATCTGTATCACTCTGCAAACCAGTATTTTCCATGTGACCAATACATGATGTTACAAAATCATGCATGGGTAAAATATCCATTCAAAATGCAAGACAGACCAATAGATTTTAATGTAACAAATATGAAAAATTCATCCATATGGTTCGCCAGCCACCGGAGTGCATTGACACAAGGAGAGTCACCAGCAGAGACCAAAGAAAAGAAGAGGATGTCTCTCTCTACAAAGCTTACTCCAGAGTGACAAGAGGAGCATATGCTCTACTATAACATTGGGGGACCTGAACACACCTCTCAGCTTTGGACAGATCAGAGTAACCATTATTCTTTCAGAAGGAGAGAAGAAATCTAGGGTAGTTATAGGGGGATGGGGAGAGACTGGACAAGAAGAATAAAGAATAAATACAATTTCTAACAATATGCATGCTGGTAATATTGATCAACATATGTCAACGCTGAACCCCCAAAATATGTGTAATCAATTATGACTCAACAAAAATTTTAAAAAAGAAAGAAAGAGGGCTGAGCCCGTGGCGCACTCGGGAGAGTGCGGCGCTGGGAGCACAGCAGCGCTTCCGCCGCGGGTTCGGATCCTATATAGGGATGACCGGTGTGCTCACTGGCTGAGCCCGGTGTGGCTGGTCTCAAAAAAGGACAAAAAAAAAAAAAGAAAGAAAGAAAAATTCATTCATATGGTTTCAAATTCCACGTTGTAACTAACATTTAAAGAAACTACAACTTGTTATTTATAATTGTAACCTTTAAAGAAACTACTGCTTGTCAGTTTGGGGATATTATTAAAGAGTATTCACAATTATGTGAAAAGGCTATCAAAATACTTCTCACATTGGACAAAAAAAAAAAGAAAGAAAGAAAAATTCATTCATATGGTTTCAAATTCCACGTTGTAACTAACATTTAAAGAAACTACAACTTGTTATTTATAATTGTAACCTTTAAAGAAACTACTGCTTGTCAGTTTGGGGATATTATTAAAGAGTATTCACAATTATGTGAAAAGGCTATCAAAATACTTCTCACATTTCCAACTACATGTTGGAAATTTTCTATATATTCCAGATTTTCTATATAGTCCAACCAAAATGATGTATTGCAACAGATTGAATGTAGAGTCTGTTGTCGTCGTCTTCTTTTTTTTTTTTTTGGAGGCTGGCTGGTACAGGGATCTGATATATAGTCCAACCAAAATGATGTATTGCAACAGATTGAATGCAGAGTCTGTTGTCGTCGTCTTCTTTTTTTTTTTTTTGGAGGCTGGCTGGTACAGGGATCTGAACCTTTCACCTTGGTGTTATAACACCACTTTCTCACCAGCTAACCCTAGCTGTCTTCTATTAAACCAGACATTAAAGAGATTTGAAAAAATATAAAGCAATGCCACTCTTCTCACCTGTTTTGAAAATAGTTATTTTCACAAAAATATGTTATTTATGTTAACATATAGTGGGTTTATTATTACTTCGAAATAAAACTAATAAGTATTTTTAAATTTCTCAGTTTTAATTTCTAGCATGTATACTCAACAGATACAAACCATACAAAAAAAGCTCTTCGGGGTCCTCTTTCTAAGAGCGTAATGGGGTCCTGAGACCAAAAGGTTAGAGAACTACTGCTAAAGAACATTTGTAATAAACAGGTCAGTCTTGGATCAAAGGTTCTCAAAGTCATTCCACTAATAATTGCCAAATTCCTACCACGCACCAGGAATGAAGGCTACAAATGAGAAAAAGAAAGGATTGTGACTAAGTAGATCAGTCTAGCTGGCAGACCCATGAGAAAACAAGTAAGACACAGGCCACCACGGAGCCACACATGCAGTGGAAAAGGCGTGGGCTTTGGAGCAGAGCCTCAGTTTGAATGTCAGCCCTGCCAGGTATGAGCCTGTGCCCCTGGGCTGGTTACTGGATCTCTCAGAGCCCCTGTTTCTTCATAATTTGCTTGTGGATGAGAACAGATAGGTCTAAGACCAGTTGTGAGGATTAAATAAAACAACAATTACAAGGTGGGGGCTGAGCTCTGGGCTGCCACCAAACCTTCTCCTGCTCTCCCACTTCCTCGTACACGAGGTCATCTCACACAGGCCAGGCTTGGCCAGCACTGAGTTCTCCACCCACTGACATCACTGACCTTTGTCCACAGTTATGACTGGGAAATGCTTCTGCATCACTCCTACTAGCCTTTCAAGGAATTAGCAATAATAGCTTCTTTTCTAAGTAGTAGCAATACACAACAGTAGAACGAAAAACATGAATGTTCCAGTAGGCTGACTCTTCAGTCACAGAAGTAGGAGCTTATGAAACATTAGAAAGGTCTATGAAAGAAATGTTACAAATAACTATTGAAATTATAAAGGGACTATGATCAAGAGTACAAGCTAACTAAAAATACAATTATGTAATTTTTCCAAATATAAGAAGGCAAGAACAATATTTCTGAAAATAATTTTACCTGGTCTAGATCCAGAGAAGAATAGACAATTTTCCCTTTGTCATCTCCAGAGAACAATTTCATTCCATTGGGGCTCCAAGCCAGAGCTGTAATGCTGTTTTTGTGAATACCAGTAACATCAAATCTCCGAAGCTATGAATAAATGATAAAAATACACAAAAGGAAAAAAATAAATGTTGTGAGCTGGGGCTATGTGGAAAAGGTAATAAACAATTGCTTCTATTTATGGATGAACTGGTTTTCCCAACCTTGTTTTCCATGCAGAACCCTATGAAAGGTTCCATCTATCTCTTCATCTTCAAACCCATGGAAAACACACCAAGAGAATATTAAGCAGAAATGAAATTACCCATATGTGTTTTATACTAAGTGTCCAACCAGGAACAAAAATGTCATCTGATTAAAAACAGTAGTGTTAAGCTCTTCTGAGCATAAATTTTCTAGGCAGATGAGAGTTTCTCATTTTAAAATCCACGAGGAATTTGCTAACAAGTCAAGAAATACTAAAACGATGAGTACTTACCTGTTTATTTCTCCCAGGCAATGAAGACACAAGTTGAAAAACTGCAACCCTCCCAGAGGCTGTGCCTGCTGCCACCAGGTCATCGAAGCAACTCAGGAGCTTCACCACAGTGATAGATTCCGTCTTCCCCTAAAAGATAAATTGGTTTTTTAACATTCAAAACAAATGAATCTGCAAGGAGGCAGGCTTTTAAATGTAAAACAAGGGATATATTACCAAAGGAGTTAGAGTTCACTGGGCTGCAGCCCATACATATTGCTGACTGGAAATATACACGAGTCAGAAACACAATGAAAACTGTTAAAAACAAAAAACAAAAAACCCTCCTTTTTCAAGGATTGCCCCCCATTTTTTTATTATATTAAAATGTACAAAACATAAAATAATCATCTTAACCCATTTTAAGTATACACAATGAAAACTGTTAAAAACAAAAAACAAAAAACCCTCCTTTTTCAAGGATTGCCCCCCATTTTTTTTATTATATTAAAATGTACAAAACATAAAATAATCATCTTAACCCATTTTAAGTATACATTTCCATGGGATTCTGTAAGTTCATAAGGTTGTGCAACCATCACTACCATCCATCTCCAGGACTCTTTTTTTTTAAAAATTAAAAAAAAATTTTTTTTTAAAAATTAAAAAAAAATTTTTTTTTTAAATTTTATTTTGTCAACATACAATGTGGTTGATTATTGTGGCCCATTACCGAAACCTCCCTCCCTCCTCCCTCTCTCCCCTCCCACCCAACAATGTCCTTTCTGTTTGCTTGTACTGTCAACTTTAAGGAATTGTAATTGTTGTGTCTTCTTTGCCCCCCGCCCTCGGTTTTTTTTCTGTGTGTGAATTTATTTATTTATTTTTAGCTCCCACAAATAAGTGAGAACATGTGGTATTT